TCAACTGTAATTAATGTTTAAGCTCTCTTTACAATATATTACGGATCCTCTAGCCATACACGAATTTTCTATATTTGATGAATATTTTTCTGTAAATAAATAGCAGATAATTAGGAATTATTTTATTGTTATTCCATAGAAAGGGATCCTTTTTTCCATAGATAGAGATCCAGCCATATAAGGTTCTCTCTGGTAATCTGTATTTATACCTCACATTGTTAATGAGAAATTTAACTTTCTGGTTACAAAAATTTTCTATGTACCAGAGCAGTAACTATGGTTCTCTTTCTTCTATTCTGCTAACAATTTTCCGACCACCATTTTTCTAATGGCTTCTACAACTTCGGCTTACACCAATTCCGGTCTTTCATCCAATCTGATGAAACCACACGACTATCCATCTCACTCTCTATATCTCCACCCCTCTGATCAACTCTATCATTCTTCATCCCCTCACCGGAGATAATTATCGGACATGGAGTCAATCCATGTTCCTTGCCCTCTCTGCCAAAAATAAAATTGGTCTCATTGACGGATCTATATCCGCACCATGTTCATTGCCCTCTTTGCCAAAAATAAAATCCATGTTTCTAGTATATAGATCCTATATTCTTACATAAAATAGTTTACTAAAAGGCAAAACAGACTAAAATAGTTAATAAGACAAAATATTGCATCTAATCTATAATTATTTCAATTTTTCTCTCACAACTATCAAATCAATTACAACCAAGAAAGCAAAAATCAACCAACTTTTCAAACATAACTTTTTGAGCTAGGCAAAAATAATTTAAAAAACCAAATAACTAACTAAAATAACTAACTATCCAAACAAGGACAATATGACAACTCGAATTTTCCAAACAACCATGCAATCAACTTTTTGACAAGTAGACAAATAATTAAGATTTTTCCATTTAATGATGGTACAAAAACAAAATCTTGGCTGTCAACTGTAATTAATGTTTAAGCTCTCTTTACAATATATTACGGATCCTCTAGACATACATGGATTTTCTATATTTGATGAATATTTTTCTGTAAATAAATAGCAGATAATTAGGAATTATTTTATTGTTATTCCATAGAAAGAGATCCTTTTTTCCATAGATAGAGATCCAGCCATATAAGGTTATCTCTGGTAATCTATATTTATACCTCACATTGTTAATGAGAAATTTAACTTTCTGGTTACAAAACTTTTCTATGTACCAGAGCAGTAACTATGGTTCTTTTTCTTCTATTCTGCAAACAATTTTCCAACCACCGTTTTTCTAATGGCTTCTATAACTTCGGCTTCCACCAATCCCAGTCTTTCATCCAATCTAATGAAACCACACGACTATCCATCGCACTCTCTATATCTCCACCCCTTTGATCAACCAAGTGTCTCTCTCGTTCTTCATCCCCTCACCGGGGATAATTGTCGGATATGGAGACAATCCATGTTCCTTGCTCTCACTGCCAAAAATAAAATTGGTCACATTGACGGATCGATATTTGCACCATGTTCCTTGCCCTCTCTGCCACAAATAAATTGCATGTTTCTAGTATATAGATCCTATATTCTTACATTAAGTAGTTTACTAAAAGGCAAAACAGACTAAAATAGTTAATAAGGCAAAATATTACATCTAACCCATAATTATTTCAATTTTTCTCTCATAAATATCAAATCAATTACAAAAAAATAAAATAAAAAATCAACCAACTTTTCAAACATAACTTTGTTAACTAGGCAAAAATCCAAAACAACTATGCAATCAACTGTTTGACAAGTAGATAGGTAATTAAGATATTTCTATTTAATGATGGTACCAAAACAAAATCTTGGTTGTCGACTGTAATTAATGTTTAGGCTCTCCTTACAATATATTACGGATCCTCTAGCCACACATGGATTTTCTATATTTGATGAATATCCTTTTGTAAATAGATCGCAGATAATTACAAATTATTTTATTGTTATTCCATAGAAAAAGATCCTTTTTTCCGTAGATAGAGATCCAGCCATATAAGGCTCTCTCTGGTAATTTGTATTTATACCTCACATTGTTAATGAGAAATTTAACTTTCTGGTTACAAAACTTTTCATGGTATCAAAGAAGTAACTATGGTTCTCCTTTTTATGTTACGAAAACAATATTCCAACCACCATTTTTGTAATGCCTTTGAAAACTTCGGCTTCCACCAATTCTAGTCTTTCATCCAATCTGATGAAGCCACGTGACTATCCATCTAACTCTCTATATGTCCACCCCTCTGATCAATCAGGCATCTCTCTTATTCTTCATCCCCTCACCGGGGATAATTATTGGACATAGAGTCAATCCATGTTCCTTGCTCTCTCCACCAAAAATAAAATGGGTCTCATTGACAGATCTATATCTGCACCACGTTCCTTGCCCTCTCCGCCAAAAATAAAATCCGTGTTTCTTGTGTATAGATCCTATATTCTTACATAAAATAGTTTACTAAATGGAAAAATAGACTAAAATAGTTAATAATACAAAATATTACATTTAACCCATAATTATTTCAATTTTTCTCTCACAACTATCAAATCAATTACAAAAAAAAAAAAAATAAACCAACTTTTCAAACATAACTTTTTTAACTAGGAAAAAATAATTAAAAAACCAAATAACTAACTATCCAAACAAGGCCAATATAATAACTCAAAATTTCCAAACAACTATGCAATCAACTTTTTAACAAGTAGACAGGTAATTAAGATTTTTCCATTTAATGATGGTACCAGAACAAAATCTTCGCTATCGACTGTAATTAATGTTTAAGCTCTCCTTACAATATATTACAGATCCTCTAGCTATACATGGATTTTTTATATTTGACGAATATTCTTTGGTAAATAGATCGTAGATAATTAGGAATTATTTTATTGTTATTCCATAGAAAGAGATCCTTTTTTCCGTAGATAGAGATCCAGCCATATAAAGTTCTCTCTGGTAATCTGTATTTATACCTCACATTGTTAATGAGAAATCTAACTTTCTGGTTACAAAACTTTTCATGGTATCAGAGCAGTAACTATGGTTCTCCTTCTTCTATTATGCAAACAATTTTCGAACGACCATTTTTGTAATGCCTTCAACAACTTTGGCTTCCACCGATTCTAGTCGTTTATACAATCTGATGAAACCACGTGACTATCCTTCTAACTCTCTATATCTCCACCCATCTGATCAACAAGCCGTCTCTCTCGTTCTTCATCCCCTCACCGAGGATAATTATCAAACATGGAGTCAATCCATGTTCCTTGCTCTCTCTGCCAAAAATAAAATTGGTCTGATTGACGGATCTAAATCCGCACCATGTTCCTTGCCCTCTCTGCCAAAAATAAAATTCATGTCTCTAGTATACAGAGCCTATATTCTTACATAAAGTAGTTTACTAAAAGGCAAAACAAACTAAAATAGTTAATATGATAAAATATCACATCTAACCCATAATTATTTCAATTTTTCTCTCACAACTATCAAATCAATTACAAAAAAATAAAAATAAAAAATCAACCAACTTTTGAAACATAACTTTTTTAACTAGGCAAAAATAATTAAAAAAACCAATTAACTAACAATCCAAACAAGGCAAATATAACAACTCAAAATTTCCAAACAACTATGCAAATAAATTTTTGACAAGTAGACAGATAATTAAGATTTTTCCATTTAATGATGCTACCAAAAAAAAATTGTGTCTGTCAACCGTAATTAATGTTTATGCTCCCCTTACAATATATTACGGATCCTCTTGCCATGCATGGATTTTCTATATTTGATGAATATTCTTCTGTAAATAGATAGCAGATAATTAGGAATTATGTTATTGTTATTCCATAGAAAGAGATCTTTTTTTTCCATAGATAGAGATCCAACCATATAAGGCTCTCTCTTGTAATATGTATTTATACCTCACATTGCTAATGAGAAACTTAACTTTCTGGTTGCAAAACTTTTCATGGTATCAGAGCAGTAACTATGGTTCTCCTTCTTCTATTCTGCAAACAATTTTCTGACCACCGTTTTTCTAATGGCTTCTACAACTTCAGCTTCCACTGATTCTAGTCTTTCATCCAATCTGATGAAACCATATGACTATCCATCTCACTCTCTCTATCTCCACCCCTCTGATCAACCAGGCGTCTCTGTCGTTCTTCATCCCCTCATCAGGGATAATTATCAAACATAGAGTCAATCCATTTTCCTTACCCTCTTTGCCAAAAATAAAATTGGTCTCATTGACGGATCTATATCCGCACCATGTTCCTTGCCCTCTCTGCCAAAAATAATGTCCATGTCTCTTGTATATAGATCCTATATTCTTACATAAAATAGTTTACTAAAAGGCAAAACAGACTAAAATAGTTAATAAGACAAAATATTACATCTGAGCCATAATTATTTCAAATTTTCTCTCACAACTATCAAATCAATTACAACCAAAAAAAAAAAAAAATTTCAACCAACACTTCAAACATAACTTTTTCAACTAGGCAAAAATAATTAAAAAATCAAATAACTAACTATCTAGACAAGGCCAATATAACAACTCAAAATTTCCAAACAACTATGCAATCATCTTTTTGGCAAGTAGACAGATAATTAAGATTTTTCCATTTAATGATGGTACCAAAACAAAATCTTGGCTGTCGATTGTAATTAATGTTTAAGCTCTCTTTACAATATATTATGGATCCTCTAGCCATACATGGATTTTCTATATTTGATGAATATTCTTCTGTAAATAGATAGCAGATAATTAGGAATTATTTTATTGTTATTCCATAGAAAGAGATCCTTTTTTCCATAGATAGAGATCCAGCCATATAAGGCCCTCTCTTGTAATTTGTATTTATACCTCACATTGTTAATGAGAAATTTAACTTTCTGGTTACAAAACTTTTCATGGTATCAGAGAAGTAACTATGGTTCTCATTCTTCTATTCTACAAACAATTTTCCAACCACCGTTTTTCTAATGGCATCTACAACTTCGACTTCCACCAATTCCTGTCTTTTCATCCAATCGATGAAACCATATGACTATCCATCTCACTCTCTCTATCTCCACCCCTCTGATCAACCAAGCGTCTCTCTCATTCTTCATCCCCTCACCGAGGATAATTATCGGACATGGAGTCAATCCGTATTCCTTGCTCTCTCTGCCAATAATAAAATTGGTCTCATTGATGTTTCTATATCCGCACCGACTCAAGCTGCAGCCGACTACCATCAGTGGTTGCAATGTAATCACATGGTGATTTCCGGGCTCATCAATAGCCTATCCACTGATCTTTGCCATAGTATCGTTCCATCGGCCTCAACTAACCAATGGTGGATCAACCTGAAGGAATGTTTTTCCCAAAGCAACTCACCTCACCTTTATCAACTTGGTCATGCCATTTTTTTCGTCCAACAGAATGGTCTCTCCGTTGCTGATTATTTTATGAAGCATAAAGGTCTTTGGAATGAACTTGATGTTCTGACCTCGCCTCCCGCCTGTACGTGCGGTGCCATGAAAGCTGTTCAATACATTCAAGTCCGCCACTGTTCTACTAAATTTTTGATGGGCCTTATTGATGACTATTCTCAAGTTCGCAAATAGATTCTTCTCATGGATCCTCTTCCATCTTTGAATAAGATGTTTGCTTTGATTTCACAGGATGAAACCCAAAGGTCTCTTTTATCTACCCTTCGCTCCTCAAATATCGTTGCCTTTGCTGCAAAAAGTAGGCCTAGTTCCTCCTTAGCTTCGCCAAAATCCTTTGGCAGACCTTGGTGCACAAAATGTGATTATCCGGGACACACTATCTCTTCCTATTATCAAATCCATGGCTATCCTATTGGGCACAAATTGTATAGACAGCCACCACGTCCACCCAGAGCTTGAGCAAATTTCGCAGCAGCTCCATACGTTGTAGCTCTGCCTGTTCATGTTGTTGTAACAGTACATGCTACCCCTGTTGCCACCATTGGCTCCTACCCACTTGAGTCCAATACGCCTGGTTTCACATTTACTCCTGATCAATACTGCCAACTCCTCTCTTTCATAACACCGCCCATACCAGCAGGTAGCCAGGTTTCTACTTCTCACTTGCTAGGTAACTCCTTTTGCTTCACTTCTTTTCAACCCCTTTGGATACTTGATACAGGTGCTAATGATCACATGGTAAACTCTCTATCTTTATTTTCCATGTCTTCTCTTATTCAATCACATTACCTGATGGCTCAGTTAAGGCCGTTTCTCACATTGGCACCATTCGTTTATCATCATGTTTACTCCTAAAAAATGTGATATGTGTACCTTTGTTTTACTATAATCTCATCTCTATTAGCAAATTGATTATTGACAATCATTGTTTTCTCACTTTTTCCTCTGATTCTTGTGTTATTCAGGACCACTATTCGAGGTAGATGATTGGGATGGGTAGATTACATGATGGCTTATATTACCTCGATCATCCTTTACCATCACCATCCGTATCATTAGTCACTACATCGGACTCCCTTCTTTGGCATAAGCGTTTGGGACACCCATTAAACAAAGTTTTAAATTCTCTCTCTTCTGTTTCTAATGTTGTTATTTCTGAAAATTCCTTATGTTTGGTTTGTCCCTTGGCAAAACAATGTCGCATCGCATATCCATTAAGTACTATTTCCACTGTTGCTCCTTTCCAACTTTTACATGTTGATATTTAGGGTGCTTATCGTATTGCATCACTTTTTGGGGCGCATTATTTTCTCACTATTGTTGATGACTTCACATGTTGCACTTGGGTTTACTTAATGCGACAAAAATCTGAAACTCTCACACATCTTCAGACCTTCATTGACTTTGTTGCAACTCAATTTGACACAAAAGTTAAAATTATTCGAAGTGATAATGTTCTTGAATTTGATATGACTCAATTTTACTGTCTTCAAGGCATTGTTCACCAAACTAGTTGCATTGATACCCCTCAACAAAACGGCATAGTTGACCATAAACATCGTCACTTGTTGAACGTTGCTAGGGCTCTTCTATTCCAGGCATCTTTGCCAAAACACTTTTAGGGGGAAGCACTCCAAACTGCCACTTACCTCATTAATCGAATGCCACGTCCTCTGTTGTTTGGACTGTCTCCCTATGAGAAACTTTATCACAAAACTCCAGCATATGCCCATCTTAGGATTTTTGGTTGTCTCTGCTTTGCATCAACACTTGCCCATTCCCGCACAAAATTTGATGCTCAAGCAAAACGATGCATTTTCTTGGGGTATCCTTTTGGCCAGAAGGCTTACCGTGTCTTTGACCTCACTAATCACATTATTTTTACCTCTCGAGATGTTATTTTCCATGAAAATACGTTTCCTTATGCTACTCCATCACCTACAGCATCTTTGCCCTCATCAATCATGCCTACTTCCACAAGGCTCGCGCCATTACACCCAATTGGGCTTGAGCCAGTACTCCTTACTGGGCTTAAGCCAGTAGTCCCTCCTTCATCCCAGTCTAGTGCACCTACCTCTTTACCACCTCTCCTAGATGCACCTTTTCCCTTATCCATCACCAATATCCATCCACACATTTCTATTCATGCCAGGTCCTCTTGACCCACTAAACAACCAGCCTATTTGCAGGATTATCTAATTAGCACAAGGTTACCGTGTCGCTCATCCTTATCTTCTGATTCCGCTATGGTCACGAAGGTACACACTCCTAATCCTCTTACACATTCTTTATCATATGCATGTTTATCTGTTTCCCATACAGCTTTTGTTAGTTCTCTAACAACTTCCCTTGAGCCCCAATTTTATCATCAGGCTGTAAATGATCCTAAGTGGCGGGAGGCCATGTGGGCTAAAATATTGGCACTTGAAACTAATAACACTTGGACTATCACTGCCCTTCTACCCGGAAAAAAGCGCTTTGGATGCAAATAGGTTTATTGTATCAAATACCAGCCAGATGGCTCCATTGAACGCTACAAAGCTCGTCTCATTGCAAAAGGCTACGTTTAGCAATGAGGTCCTGACTACACTGATACTTTTTCCCCAATTGCAAAGTTATTTATTGTCCGTCTCCTGCTTCGTCTTGCCTCTATCAATAATTAGCATCTTCATCAGCTTGATGTGAATAACGTATTTTTACATGGTGATCTTGTTGAAGAGGTCTACATGTCCTTACCTCCTGGTTTTGGTCAAACGAGGGATGCTCAAGTCTGTCGCCTCAACAAATCTCTTTATGGGTTAAAACAGGCATCTCGCTAATGGTTTATGAAGTTCTCTAAAGCTCTCTGAAAAGTTCTGTAACCATAAAGTTAAATTTCTCATTAACAAGGTGAGGTATAAATACAGATTACAAGAGAGAGCCTTATATGGCTGGATCTCTATTTATGGAAAAAGGATCTTTTTCTATGGAATAACAATAAAATAATTCCTAATTATCTGCTATCTATTTACAGAAGAATATTCATCAAATATAGAAAATCCATGTATGGCTAGAGGATCCGTAATACTTATGAAAATCCATATATGGCTAGAGGAGTTGCTAGAAATGACTTATCTACTATTCAACTCCTGAAGGACTACTTGTATTCCGATTTTAAATTCAAGGATCTGGTCCTACTAAAATACTTCTTGGGCATTGAAGTTGCTCGCTCAAAGAAAGGAATTTTCCTCTCTCAACGAAAATATGCTCTGGCCATTCTTAGTGATACAGGTTTAACCAATACTAAACCAACAGATTTTCCAAAGGAACACCATCACACACTCGGTTCTTCTGATGGTACTCTTCTTGTCGACGCTACACCATATCGCCGATTGATTGGACGTTTGATATACTTAACTGTTACAAGGCCAGATATTACATATGCAGTCAACACTCTCTGTCAATTTCTTAACAAGCCTACTCAATCTCATTTTCATGTAGCCCATCGTATACTTAGGTATGTCAAGCGGGCTCCTGGTCAAGGTTTATTTTTCCCCACAACCAGCTGTCTTTAGTTGAGGGCCTTTTGTGATTCTGATTGGGCACGTTGCAAAGACACCAGACGATCCATTACTGGTCATTGCATATTCTTGGGTGACTCACTCAACTCATGTAAATCCAAGAAAAAAACAACTGTTTCATGTTCTTCTGCATAAGCAGAGTACCGATCCATGGCCACCACTTGTCGTGAAATTAACTGGCTCCATTATTTACTAAAGGATCTAACTATTTCTAGCCCTCTGCAGATAATGATGTATTGTGACAATAAGGTTGCGATACATATCGCAAACAATCCAGTATTTCATGAACGCACTAAACACATCGAGATAGATTGTCATTTGGAAAGAGATAAATTACAGCAAGGCCTATTTTGTTTACATCATATTTCTCCTGCCAATCAGCCAGCAAACATTTTTACTAAGGCTCTTGGTGCAGCTCAATTTCACCATTTAGTCAACAAGTTGGGCATTATTGACATACATGCTCCAACTTGAGGGGATGTATTATGGATCCTCTAGCCATATATGGATTTTCTATATTTGATGAATATTCTTTTGTAAATAGATAGCAGATAATTAGGGATTATTTTATTGTTGTTCCATAGAAAGAGATCCTTTTTCCATAGATAGAGATCCAGCCATATAAGGCTCTCTCTTGTAATCTGTATTTATACCTCACATTGTTAATGAGAAATTTAACTTTCTGGTTTACAAAACTTTTCAAAATAAACACACAAAAGATTTTCACGAGATACAAAAATAAACAATGGGTGGATGTCACAGGCAGGTCTGTCATGTTTTTGGACCTATTATTTGTCTCACATATGTGATGTCGTGTTATATAAAAAGTTTCTCTCAATTGTTCAAATTCGTGGGGCTAGTCGCGAGATTCGTTTCAATAATTCGATCCATTTATTTTTTAAAATCCTCTATGTATATCATTTATGAAATAAATTAAGTTGATCAGATAATTTTAATATTTTTATTTTATTGTGTTGTTTTTAAAAAATGAACAGTCTATTTTAAAAAAATACTTATCATTCAATTTTTCAGAGACAAATGCAATAAAAACATCATAAAATGAAAATGATATGATTATTGAATTGATTTAAATTTTTTTTGTTATGAATGATATATACGGAGAATACTAAAAGTGAATGGTTTGGATCATTGAAATGAGACCCATGATGGGACTTACGGGCCTAGGATTCAGTGCAATGAATCTAGCTATTTGTTTGGCCGAGTTTTTGTACCATTTTTGGAAAAAATTGTCACGTGGCAATTCTTTCAATTTTTGATGCCACGTGGCAATGAAAGATAGTCAAAGATTTTATGAGTCCCACCACCAAGGTTAAATGAAATGGCGTCTAAAATTGATTTATTTTAATTAATTAAATTAGCCAAGTCATTGGGTTGATTAATTAATTAATTTAGATTTGGTTGATTTGATGAGATGAGCCTTAACTGTTCCTAATAGTTATAAGGTTGTTGAGGCACATCTCCTATTTTAGTGTCGTATCTCCTAGTTTGTTACTAAATGGTTGCTATGGATGAAAATTACATGGGATTTGAAGATTTGACAAAATTAACAAGAAGGCAACAATATAGGAACTGAATTAATTCCCCAAATCATGCAAGATTGGGATTGAGGGTTTGTATGGATAAGCACACATGATAAATGAAGAGGCTTTGAAAACCCATCCAAATGAGCCTTTTCCCTAAACTATGCAAAATAAATTTAAGTTTGATTCTTGAGTGATACGTGGCAGCCTATGGAAGCTCAATGGACCAAGTCAAAGTGATGGAGATAAGCACTAGCCTTTGAGGATAAAAACTATTCGTACTCTTGGGGAATCAACCTAAGGATCATGGACACATGTCATCAGGAAAAGTTGCCACGTTTCTGGCAGTTGAGCATAATTAGGGGCTTCCTCAACACTATATAAAGGGCTCCAAGTGCAACATTTGAAAGGGTCCCCGACTAAACACTCGACCAAGAGTCTGTTAATATATGTCTTTCAATACATCTTAGTTTCATAGCTTATTTATCTTAGCTCCATAGCTTAGTTATCTTACCTTAGCTTTATAACTTCTTTATCATAGCTTCATAACTTAGTTCCTTTAGTTTCATAACTTAGTTACCTTAGATTATCAATCATACTTCATTCTCAATCGATGCAAGTTACAATTTTAGTCTAATTATCTTTGACACCTATAAATTTGTTAAAAGTCCTCTTCATTGAGGTAATATCCGAACCAGTGGTTGTTCCTCTTAACCGCACACAGTTATTTCTATGTGTTAGAAATCAGAAATGTTCAACAATTCCTACACCTTGAAGTAGGTTAACAAGTCCTGGCACACCCTCATTTAATCAACAAGATTTTTTGTGTTCACACCTGTAGGATTTCTTAAGTGGCAACAGGAATTTCTGAGTGCAAACAAATTTTGGTATGCCTGGTA